GAGGACAAACGAAGAGAGAGACGACGGAGAGAGAGAGAGAAGAGAGAGGAGAGGAGAAAGAGAGAAGGAGAGAGAGAGAGGAGAGAGAGAGAGAGAAGAGAGAGAGAGCCTGATAGAGAGAGAGACGGAGAGAGAGAAGAGAGAGAGACAGAAGACGAGACAAGACAGAGACCAGAGACAGAGACAGAGAGACAGACAGACAGAGAGGACAGGACAGACAGAACAGACAGACAGACAGAAAAAAAAGAAAGAGAAAGAAGGACAGACACAGAAAGAAAGAGAAAGAGAGAGAGAAAGAAAGAAAGAGATGAGGGGAGAGGACGCAGATATATATTATATGTAGTATGCATGTATTTAAATTATTTCTGTGTGGCAAACCTTACCTTTTCCCTCCATGGACATCACAAGCTTCCCTACATCTTCCCGAAAACATTTTTCCCTTTCTGTTCCCTTGGGGGAGCGAGGGGGGTTGGGGGAGAGTGAGGGAGAAGAGGGAGGAGAAGAGGGTGGGAAGGCAGGAGTGAGGGAGAGGAGAGGTGGGAAGAGGAGAAGAGGGGAGGAAAGAGAGGTGGGTAAGGAGGAGAGAAAGAGGACGAGGTGAGGGTGAAGAGGAGGAGAGCGTGGAGGAGGGAGAAGAGGAGGAGAGGGAAGAGGTGGGAAGGATGGCGAGAAGAGGGAGGTGAGGAGTAGAGGAGAGAGAGGTGGGAAGGAGTGTCGAGAGAGAGAGGAGAAGAGGGAGGAGAGAGGTGGGAAGGAGGGAGAAGATGGGAAGGAGGAAGAGAAAGGGAGGAGGAGAGGGTGGGGAAAGGATAATACTGGCATCAGGAGAGGTGGCAAGGAGGTGAGAAGAGGAGTAGAGAGGTGGGAAGGAGGGAGATGGTGGAAGGAGGTGAGAAGAGTGAGGAAGAGGTCATGCTATGGGAAGGAGGAGAAGAGGTGAGGTGAGGGAGAAAGAGAAAGAGAGGGAGGAGAGATGGTAGGAAGGAGGAGGTGAGGGGAGAAGAGGGAGGAGAGAGTGAGGGAGAAGAGGAGGAGAGGAGGGAGAAGGAGGGAGAAGAGTGAGGAGAGGTAGAGGAGGAGAAGAGGAGAGAGAGTCGGGAAGGAGGGAGGAAGAGGAGAGGAGAGGGAAGAGGATGGGAGAGTGTAGGTGGGAAGAGGGAGACAGGGAAAGTTGGTTGGAGAGGGATGGTTAGGGAGGATGAGAGGAGGAGGGAGGTAGGAGGAGGGAGTGGTGAGGGTGGTAAAAGGGGATGAGAATAGGGAGAGGAGGAAGAGAGTGAGGTGGGAAAGGGGTGACCTAGGGGCGAGGTGAGGGAGAAGAAGAGTTAGGTGAGGAGGGAGGATGAGGAAAGGTGAGGGAGAAGAGGGAGAAGAAAGTTGGAAGGGAGATGAGGACGGTGGTGGGGGGAATGGAGAGGGAGGAGAGAGGGAGACGAGTGATAAGGAGATGGAGAGGGAGAAGAGAGGGGAGGGAAGAGGGAGATGAGGAAGTGTTAGGGGGATGATGAGGGACTATTGAGGGAAGAGAAGGAAAAGGAGGTGGGAGACAAGAAGAGTGATAGGGAGATGGAAAAAAGAAAAGAGAGGGGGAGGGAGGAAGAAGAGGAAGGAGGGAAAGAAAACAGGTAGAAAAGGAAAGAAGGGGAATCGGACAAGGAAGCTAATAACAAGACGAAAGGAGGTGAAGAAAATGGGGAAAGGGGAGGGGACAAAAGGATAGAG